TGTATAGCATACATGTAAGAAACTTGTCTTGCAAGTTGGACATATATTAGAGGTCCTATATATTGTTGCCATGTAGCTCCTACTTAGATAATATATATATAGATGCAAGAGTGAAACCTTCTTCACTCTTGCTAATACTTCTTTTGTTTGCTATTTCAAAAAGTCTTTAATTTTCTTATCTTTGAAAATAGCCAATTTGATTTAATATTACACCACCTTTATTAGCTTATAATTTTTTTAATAACATAAGAATTTATTTAACCTTTAATTTTTTATGATTCATGACTTTGATAATAATAAAAAAAATATACTATTTCAATTAAGATAATTGCTCCTAAGACTTATTAAGATTCTATTTCTATGATTTTTTTAATAAGTCTCTTATAATATATAAATAGTTTTAAATTTTAATAAATATTCAAACAATAAAATGGAATAATTAATTTTAATATCAATACATTTAAATAATTCAAAACTATATTTTAAATAAATCCATCAATTAAGATTTTTTGATAGAATTCATAATCTAACTTGGAATTTTTCATAGCTTATTAATATAGATTTTAAGTGCATGAATTTCTATTAGCAATCTAACTTTATTTTCTAGGCTTTCTTCTCAATTTATTTGGATTGATTAATCTTTAATCAACTCAATAAAATTTAGATGATGCTTTCATTGACATGATTTTTTAATTTTGAAATTATAATCTTAAAATTATTTTGGGATTCTGACCACACTTTGTTTATAGCTAATGCAATTAATGGATTATAACTTCCAAATCCATCACTTTTTGCTACTGCAGTCATATAAAGAAATGGCAATTTCTGAAATAAGAATTAATCTAATAGAAATTATGTTGTAATTATTGTTGTTGATTTTCTATCCACTTCAATTAGTTTCTTTTTTAGTACTAATATGCCAATCAATTATTTTTTAAGTTCTCTATCAATCACAAGTAGCATCTTTTCATAGTCTTTAGTACCACCAATAGCCTAATTAGAAATTAATAGTTCCATCAAAGTTATAGTTATATATCACTCATTACTTTAAAGTAAATAGGATTCAATTTTAAAGTCTTAATTGGGCCATTGCCTCTTTAATTGCTTTGATTCTATTCTAAGCTAATTCATCTTCTAAGATCCTTTTACAAGTAGTAATTCTTATGTGAGTTGTAAAAAATTGTATTCAAGTAGATTACAAAGCAATTTTAATCTTGACTTCTAGCAAACTACCAACCTATCAATGATAATTTATTTGTATAAATAAAAATAACTTAACTTTAAATCCTATCTCTACTAATTCATGTCTAAAAAGCTTATTTAAACTATTTTAATTTCAAGAAAAAAACTTATTAAATACATATTATACCTAAATTTTATCTTAATCCAATTAAATATTTTATAATTATGACCTGATTTTCTATATATAAATACAAGTTTTTACAATGACATTTATTATTTTTTTAAAGTAGAAAATATTTTTAAAAAAATTATTATTTTGCATATGTTTTACTCTTAATAAATATTTTTTTATAAATTTGGAAGTTGTTATGACTTGATAAGTTTCTCTCCAATTAAATTTTTATTCCAAGCGCCTAATAAAGAGTCAAATAGTACATACAATGGCTTAAATAATTATTATTTTAATACATTTGCATTCTATATTGAAAAAATTTGTCAAAATTTTAAGAAGGATGAAACTTTAAATAGACCTTAAATTATTGTAAATTTTTCAAAATTTTAATCTTATTCTATCAAATTTCTTCAAGATACTAATCTCTCCATCCTTCATATTTATATTAGATATATTTTTTATATTCACTTTTGAAGTTAATTTACTTACTTCTCTTAATTGTATAATTACTTAACATAGATATTGGACTTTGTTGTTGACTTCTTTTATAGACATAAGATAGTACTTTTGTAATTGATATTAGTAATATGTAAAAAATTTGTATTAGAAGTATTAAATTATTTGTAAATATTTGTAATAATTACATAACTATACTAACTTCTATAAAGTGTAGTATCCATAATATGTTTTATATTTATTTTTTATAATAGACAACACTAAAAAATCCAAAAACCAAATATTAAAAGAATAATTTGTAATCTTTAATAATAAATATAAATATCTACAAAAGAAGTTCTTTATTTTTTAAAAAAGAATTAATATTTAAAATATATCTATATCTATCTATATATATATATATATATATATATTAGTTTAGAATCTTTCACAATACAACAATGAAAAGTGGAATACTTTACTTACTTCAAAAATAAAATAAATTAGAATTCTTATTAAATTATTAAAAATAAGAATTACCTATAAATTCTAAAAATGATAATAAATCCTTATTTTACCAAAAGAGAGAAACTAGATAACTAGAAGAATAGAGTCAAAACAAGAATGGCTAAATTGAAAAATACATATAGACCATGAATCAAGATATGACATATATAATATGTGTCTAACTTACAAAACATGTGTCTAATTTTGTAGAACAAATTTTAGATATGGTTGTTACATAGCCAACTTATAATTTAAGTGGCTAAATGTGCAACATGTGATCAACTTGTTGGCCAAATTTTCAACCTACTAATCACTTTATAAATATGTGTAAAGTCTTCAACATTTCTATGAAGCTTTTCAACAAGATATCAATAATTACAATCAAAGTTATATTAAATTTAATTAACTTATATGTTTTTTATATTTTTACAAATTAAATTTGATTATTAGATAGCTAAAAATATATATAATTAAAATAAGAAAGAGGATTTAACTTATACAAAATTAATCTAAAAATAGAATAATGGCATTTTTGATTTCATCTTTTGTAAGATTTTTATAAAAAAAATTATAAAAAGCTTTGATTTGACATAAATTAGTTTGATATTATTGCAAAATCTTAGCTATCTTTTTAGTATAAAAAAATAATTTACATAGATAATAATACAAATAATAAAAAATTATCATAAAATATCAAAAATTATCTATCTTTTGTAGTATTAACATAGAATTCAGATTTTTAAAATGTATATCAATATAGTGTAGTTAATTAGATAGGTAGTGCACGTAATTTTTCTATTAATAAATATTTTTCTATTAAAACAACATAAAACACTCAACATATAATATTATATCATTCTTATTAATTATTTTGATGTAATTTTATAAAAATAGAAAAAATGATATTCAATTTTTTTAAAAATAATGTATTCTATTTTACTGAGAGTTGTTAAAGTTTAAATAATTTGATTTTTTTTTTTTTTTTTTTTTTTTGAATTGGAATCAGTTCTTGTAGAAAATAAAAATTATAATTACAAATTTTTAAGAGCATAAATTCTAAATTTTTGAATTTTAATTTATATACATTATATATATATATATATATATATATATATATATATACATATATATATATAAATTTTACATATACATGTAAACATATATTTTTCAGAATATTTTTAGTAATAAAGAAATCAAGCATCTCCACCTCTCTCTAATAATGATGTAAATTTTAGTTGAGCATTAAATATGATATTTAAGATACATCTATAAAAATATTTATTTTTTAGATTACTAATAAATATACATCTATCTGTATGTATATAATACAAAAAATAAAAAAATAAAAAATAAGATATAAATATAAATTAACAAATTTATTGTTTTGATATAAATGATGACTAATTTATAGCACAATAATATATTCATTTTTACAACAAAATGAACAAAGAATTAATAAGTTCTAAAAAATCTAGTACTTCAATTTCTAATTTATTTTTCAATTTCACATGGATGAAAATAAAATATTCTAGGCTCAGAACCAATCATTCAAAGTGCAAAATTTTGTGTAATATTATCTCTAAAATCAAATACTCAAATAACTTGCAATTTGATAATTCACATAAAAAAGTATGTATATATATATATATATATATATATGTTAACAATACCTATTAAATATACATACACATTTACAGTACTAAATGAAAACACAATGTTGCTGGCCAGTCTAGTTGAAAACTGAGATCCTTCACATTTGTATTTATAATTTCAGTAATGGATTATGTATATTTTTCGTAAGTTTCACATAACTTTCCTCATTTTCATTGCAAAATATCTAAAATTTATTTTTAAGAATAAATTTTTATTCAAAAGGATGTATGTGTATGTGACTATATATATATATATATATATATATATATGTGTATATGTATTTGATTTTTTAGTATTTTTAATTTTCGAATTACATGTTCTAATTTTTTTTCTTTAATTGATATGTAAAGATCAAAATATACTTAATATTTTATAGTAAAAGAAATTATTGTAAATTAAGTTAGTTAGTTAGTTGTTTAGGTTTTTATTTTATTTTATTTTATTTTATTAATTTAAGACATAAGGTGGTTGATATTTTATCAAATTTTAATAGTGCCTTTTTCTTAGACCACATTAGCTAACTATAACGTCCTATATTTTTCTCAATGCAAAGGTTAATCAAAATTTTAACTGAAATAAAAGAAATGCATAATTAAATTTTATTTATTTATTTATTTATTGTAACACACTCAACTACATCTGCATATTATTGTTAAACCTGTCCTTGTCATTTGGTTTCTTGCGGAGTAGAAATTGTATCGTCAACATGACTCGAGCATAGAAGCTCACAGGTAAAGGAGACGTTCCCCAAATTTGAAAAGATGTTCCTAAGACCGTATGGAACCGTGCACACGAGAGTGCTCTCCCCTGGGAACTTCGTCTCTCTCGTTCTCATGCTGAGAAGGATTTTACAAAAAGAGGCTTGTAGAGTAGCTGGCTATGAACAATGTCTGGCCACTCTGCCCTCATTGCCAATTTCTTTTTCACCCATTTTCATTTCGCGTCCCTCCTTCGGTCACGCATGCCTTTAAGGTCTCGTCGACAACGCTCTCTGAAAAATTCTAGTTAGATTTTAGATTCTGCTATTCCAGGAATTTTCTAGACGAGCTAGGTCGAGGATGCTGGTGTGAGGGCTCATTTGCAATCGGGTGAAGTCGAGAAAACGGTGAGCTATGCCGCGCAGCCCTTGTGCTTCAATTACTTGATTACTTCGGTCCATGTTCGTTTTGTTGGATTAGGCAATGAGGTAAGAGGGATCTGTTGGTATTTATTTCGTGAAAGAGGTGACGGGATGTGTTCTCTGAGTTTACAGTGTCTGTGCTGGTCTTATGTTACACTACTCTGGTGGTTAGACATTTGGGCGATATCTGACAGATGTTCACTGGTCGAGAAGTTGTTATTTGCTGCTGCGACCATGGCTAGCAATATCCTTAACTTGTATGTGCCGTATGAGATTCATCATGATCTGCTTTTTTGTATTTCACATGTGTACCATGTATGATTAACATGAACATGAATACTACAGTGCTCGCGGATGCAAGATACACTTAAGAAGCGGTTGTGTATGTCTTTTGCTAATCGGAACGAGGTGGATTCTCTATGATTCTTTGGGATGAGTATATTTTCTCATGGCTGTTACTTAACCACCACAATTGTTCTCTATAGAGGGTTTGTAGATCGTGTATGTTGGAGAATGAAACATTGAACATCTAGAAGTCATTTCCACATGGTAATACTTTGGTTTATCGGAAATGGGAGTAAAGCATAATTTGCGCAGTACTGCGCAAACTAGGAGGATCCTAAAACCTGCTTTTAAGACCAAAAGCCCGAATAGTTATTTCGTAATTTATTGTGCCTTTAAAATAACCAACATTTAGTCATCATTATTTTCTAGCAAATAATGCTGATGTCTTTGTCTTCTCTCTTAAATTGAAGCCTTTGTAAATACTTCATATTATGCGCTCGTGCCCCTAGCAAGTATTTAGAAAGAGTATGTTTTTTGTGTTTGAAGTTTATACAAGTGCAAGAATGGCGGGCTTTGAATGTTGTATTCTATTTTGCTAATGTGTTAGCATAGCTTTCTAGGTTAGTCGAGCGGATTCCGACTATCTGGACGATCCTGGTCTTGTATGGTAATTGATGAATTTAGAACTTGGTTCAAGTATATATGCTTACTACGTGTAAAATGCATTTACTTACGACTGTTGGTAAGCTGGAGTTGTGATGTGCTTGTTTAAAAACGCCTCTAGAAAATACTTTATGGCAATCGATTCATAGTGGTATTGTATGGAAGGGTTCGTTCTGCTGAATTGTAGCAAGAGCAGTCCACGTTGCGGTCAAGATTAGGAAAGTCATATTCATGGCCGACGTGTTATCTTGAACTCAGCAAATACATTAACGGCAAGTGTGCGAGAGTGATATCTGTTATGAGCTTGTTCGCTTGACCTTGATGTGTTATTCGTCGTCTAGGAGGTTTTATGAAGGTTTTTGTGCTTCTGTTGTCTGCAGGTTTTGATTGGATTCATTTTGATCATTGCTTTTTAGGTCACGCAGAACATAGTCGCGATGAACGGTGAAACTTCTACTGGGTTGCATCCTGGTAGAAAAAAGCGTAGAAGGGATCGCCATGGGGAACCTAGCCGTGGAAAGCCAGTGTCCAAGAAATGGAAACCTGTGTGGTTGTGGCTGCAATCATTGAAGCGAACAGAGGTTGTGGAGCCTGCGGAGGTTATTGCTTGGTTAGATAGTAATCCAGAATATGCTGCAGAGATCCGGCAACATCATACCAATGGGGTTTTTGTTGCATATGCCCAAAAGTGTCATCAGAGACTGATTTATGGCCAGTATCACAATAAAATAGAAACTAAGAAGGTGATTTACAGAAAGTCCTTTATTTTCTGTTTTTCATAATCATGGGCCGCAACGTTCCTCGTCCTTTAAAACACTATTATTATTTCTTAAATTTTTAATTGCATCTTTTTGTCCAGAATCGGGTTTCTCGGCCTATGCGACCCCCTCGACTTGATGACACAGATCATTCAAATGGACAAGTCGGCCCCAAGGAAAGCTCCCAGAAAGGACAACAAGATGTTTTTCAGCTCCCATGGAACCAACAATTAGCTCACAATGTTCTAGGAAATACCAAGTTTGAACATGGAGAAGGTGAGACCTTGACGATGCACCTTACCGTAACTTTATGTTAGCATGAGGCATTGATAATGAGGTTTGTGCATGTTTTATCACGAAACTCCAGACCTCATCGTAATCGCTGAGTTAAGGCGTGGAGGCAACATCGAGAGAGAGCGAGAGAGAGAGAGAGAGATTCGTTGATTCAGAATTTTTTTATGCCACAGATGAAGGGAGTGTTCTTGATCCACAAACTTGGAGGGAGCATTGGCGAAACCTTCTGGACATCAAGAAGATGGGCTCTGAGGTAGATAAATTTTTCAATTACATGAACTGGCATCTCAGCACAAATTGTGAAAGGTCATCCCAAATAATTTCATACACGCACATACACTCGAAAACATACACATACATACATATATCCGTACATGCATATAGAATTAGCCTAGGCAGGCTTATGAATTACACGCTGATTGAAATTCCAGCGTCGCCGGATCGACGAAGTAAAAGATATGTTTCCAGGGTCTTTCACCGACTTACAGTCTTGCGTTTATTGCATTGATAGATTGAGACCAACGCAGAAGAGAATCATGAACAACGGCATACTTCTAGTCCCTATTCTACGAGGATTAAACGGCAACGTGAATTCTATACTCCAGGTGAGTATCTTTAGGATCCAATTGAGCATGTACAGGAACATTTTTCTGAGGAGTGTTTTTTTAACAACCATATATGTGATGCCTTCCTTTGAAAGCGATCTTTTGTTCATTGGCGGTAGCCTCGGTTAGAAATACTCATACAGGCTTGGCCGAAATTAATGAACATGCTTGCAAGAATGCTTACTTTGTGAATCTAAAAAATCTTGTTTCTACAGCTTCTAATGCATTTTGGGTGTACAGATGATCCAGGCAAGCGGGTGCAAACACAAAAAGAGATAGAGCCAAATCTGGAGCCGTTGGATAAAATGGATACTCTCACCAAATTTGAATTGTAGGTTTTCAGAACTGTACTGTAAATTTGAAGTGTGAGTAAATACTTTCTTGAGATATATGTTATTGTAGCCCTCTACGGTATTTAATTGCATCTTGTGTTCTTCACCACATCCTTCTTGATGTGTTGTCAGATATCTTCAGAAGCACAATGCATGAAATAGCTTATATATTGTATCTGCAAATATCCTTCTGTGGCTTCTGTGTTTGAACGCATGCGTTGAATCCTTTAGTGCAACTGTGTTGTTTCGAGATGGAAAACCGGCCAATCACAATACGACTGCATTGTGTAATAATCTTGCATTTACCATTTCATGGAGAAATAATTTATCAGAAATGAAGCCACCTTATTTTAAGCTTGAGCATTACTTGTGTAAAGTTCGTTTCGGAGCATAACCACTCTTTCTATTCTGCAAAAGTGGAAATACCTTGCGTTATATAAGTCTTGTAGTCCAATACTATTTATTCATTTATTTATTTATTTTTGTTCTTTTGCTTTTTTGTTTTTTTTGTGTGTGTTTTTGTCTGATCACAAATATGTTTTTCTGCGTCATTTTCGCTGCCATGCTTGATGCGAATTACCGTCACAGGTTATATTGAGTTGCAAGTAGGTTGATGGTCAGATGACATTGAAGTATATGCAGTGTATACCCTTGCTTTTCTCTTTTTCGAGCTTCTGGATGGATTCACTACGTTGTAGATCCCTCTGTTTATACTTTTCTGTAAAACTTAGTTTGGTCATGTCCTCGGCAAGAACAGACAAGCACATTCTGGGTTGTGTTGTAATAAAAGTTTTGTAAGTGGGTTATGATCTGGTACAGGATATTGACTCTAGAGATGCGGTTGAAAGAGATAGTTTGCAATTCCAAGAGTCAGCCTGTCGAAGCCAATGGTTTCAGCAAGGCAGATAAGCAAAAGCTTGATGATGGAGCCAGACCTGGTAGGAAGAGTCGATCATCGTCAGACACAGCAGCGAAAGCCTGGGTTTTTTCGGAGGCGTGTACAGGTACACTGCGAAATTTGAAGCCGTCCATAAGATGTAAAATACAATTCAATCGCCGATGGTATACCTTCTAATCGAACAGAAGTGCATGTCTAGTCATATGGAATGGGGTCTAATATGGTTCATGTGTTGTTTATTTGACGACTTTCTATGTTTATGTAGGAATAATTTTTTTCTGGAACTTGAATCTAGTAATGAATTAAAGACTGTATGCTTCATGATCTGAAATTAAGGTGGAGCATGATGTGGAGCATGATGTGATTGCAGGACAGGAAACTGCCACACCAAACATTATAGAATCTTTGATTGAACGTGAGCAAGGTGCGAATTCTGGAGCTGTTGCATACAGACCTAATGAAATTGGAAACCGTGGCATGAGGTGGAAGGCTGCAGTCAACGGTATGGATGTTTGATGTTCTCCAATTTTGTAAAGTATTTGTTCCTTTAATTTCATGATGTATATTCAAATAAATGTTGTTGAAGTTGAAGACCATTGTGTAACGGGATCCTAGGTCATTAGGTCTGTCCATAGCGGGCTTCAAGTACTGTGCTCTAGGAATCGTGTATTTTAGATGATCCAGTGCTTTTTCCTTGGTTTTCACGTTCCCTCAGCATAGATGATCAAGTGCTCATTCTTCCGAGATCTACTTGCGGCGTTATTAATTAGCAGTGATTCATTGCAGGTTGGGACTCTCTTGAAAAACAGAGATTGGGACCAACAAACTGGCTGCAGAAGCGAGCGTATTCATCTTGGAGGACCACCTGGTGTGCTTACACCTCAAGCAGTGCTGTGGCTCATCCTTTGGGTGGTACTCGAATGGATGTAAGTTTTGTATAAAATTTCTTATTAAGGCGATAATATTCTTGCACAATCTTAACAAGCTTGTTTATTCGGCTATTTTCCCCTATCTGAGGCACCTCCTTTGTGAAATGGGATCGCTGAATAGTTATAGATGATTGTTTTCGGTGTATAGTGTTTTTAGAAGTATGTAATGCAACTTACACGATTTCTGCTCAATTACATGATTGCTCCATCTCAGCTTTCGCAAGGAGTATCACGCACATTTTACATCGCAAGCACGAACATATTATTATCGAAGATAGAACATAGACACTCCAGAATTCAGCTAAAATTTTCGGCTTCTCATAGCTGTTTCCTTTTTACTTTGAATGCACTGTGATTTGCAGCAAGGCGTTCAGAAAGTTCTTGACGTGAGATTTCACCCTGGTGGAGACCCTCTGTTGGTTGTCAGCTGCAACGAGGTATTAACCCTGCTCCGTCTTTAAGCTTTCTATCAAATCCAGTCGTATTATTCAAGAGTTTATGCCTCACGGGCCCATATCAGATTCTTATTTGATAGAGGGATTGCGTGCTGCTCTGCTTTCATTACTTCATGTGAATTATGGTGTGATGTTCGTCCTGTATTTTTTTTTTATGTATATACCAAATGAGACTCGTTTACTACGCAGCCGCCCAATGAGTTATTGCTATACGATCTTGAGAACGGGCGTGGAAAACCATTGACTGGTCTCAATACACAGGTTCTTTGGCTGATCTGTCTACTTTGTATTGCAATTAGCCTCTGTCTGGTGATCAGCCTTGTAATGAGACCATTGGCAAGGAAGTGTTGAACCGTAGCACATAGAAGAGCTGTCTTTTAACACATACAAAGAATAAAGAAATCGTTATTATCTAATACGAATATGATCTACCTGCTGATCGTATCTGTAGTCTTGCATTCAACTACTTCAAACGTAATTACATTGTATGTCTTTCTTATTAGAGCCCTGTGATACTTCGTCACTGAGAACACTGCTTCATTTTTCCAGATCCAGGCAGTTGAGTTTGCATCGAATGGAGCTTGTATTGTTGCATGTGCTAGCAACATAGTGAAGGTACAACTGCAGCGCTTAACAGTCCTCCTACTTGATAGTGGTAGAAATGTGAAGTGGCCTCATGTTAATTTCCGTAGTTTTAAAGTTCTTAAGCATGAGCATAGCACGTGCATGATGTAATCCATGATAATCATCATGTTCAACTAAAAAGTCCTTTTCTTTCATTTACAGGTGTGGGATACAGTATCATGCGTATGCTCACATACATTAGGTCCTGGATTAGAGGATGACACTTCTGGCCACAAAAAAAAAATCAATGCCATGAGTGTTAATCAATTTCGACCGTGTAAGATGTCTTATTTTCCATCATGCCTACTTATTACAACAGCTTTTGTACACTTCAATGCGGAGTGCGTACAAGTAGATTTTTTGTGATCCGCATCTGAGGTGTTCCCAAGTCATCTGGGTGTTCTTCATTTCTTACTTTGGATATTTTAAACTGTGGATCTAAGCTGTAATATACAAGCTTTTCGACTGACTACAGAGGTTGCTCCTCCAGATCTTATCGCAACTAGCGGCGGGGACGGCGACAATCAAATTTTACTCTGGAACGTACGAAGTGGAGAATTGGCAACTGATCTCAATGCTAGTTACAGGTTTGTTTCTGTTGTTCTGTCCTTCGTCATAAAATTTGATACTACTGTCGACTTCCCTATCACGTATTGAGGTTGGACCTCATGTAGTGCTCGTGAGTTCCCTCTGAGCGGAATGAAATGTGTTCATAACGTCCTTTTTCTTTCTCCAGTGTCCTCATAGGTAACGTAGATGGAATCCCTCTCTTGGTGATAAGATTTACCTGACATAATGTCCTTGGGTGACAGGCAGCACGAGGCGAACCTCCTATCTATGGACGCGTTGAAGTTTTCCAGTGACAGATTTCTGATTTGTGGAAGTGACTCTCCAGGTGGTGAACCGGCAATTATGCAAATTTGGGACATTGATGCTGCAGTCAATGTTTCCACTTACCCTGCTCATGATACAGTGAGTTTTTTATATTGTTTGCGTTGAACCGTAAGAGTGCAGTCCGCTTATTTTAGTATTGCCTTTTTGATGTCATATTGGTATTTAATCAATTTATTCTGCTTTTTCGAATACAATGTGCCAAGTCACAGTTGTGTGATGAACAGGTCAGGTGTTGGGTCATTCTTTTTTAGCTTCTGCGTAAGTTTTGATAGTCAACTGCTGATTACAAAGACTGTGTGCAGTATATCACTTGTTTGGATGTTAATCTTTCTGGATCTACCATTCTCACAGGTATTTCTAATTTCCTCACTGCTGGAATCTTTATTTATTGATGCATGCTTGAATTCTTCAGCATCGTCTGTTCAGGACTAAGCAGAACCATCAGGGTTTCTTGAAAATCTTAGATCTAAGTTAATTGGCAGCAGGTATAGTCAAATGTGCTGACCAATATGTTTAGTTGATTAATGGAAGTTGGACTGATAATTGCAGCACTTTATGACCTCTTGAAAATTCAAGATTCATTTGGTAAATGTTTGAATTTTGTAACTTCAGGTTCGGGAGATGGAAGCGTTGGTTTATTTGACGTCAGGACTAGTGGTGCAATTGCTCGATTGCCTCTAACTTCAAATTGGGAGGTATGTCCTGTTGTCCTTATCAGTGCAGAAGCTTGTAGGTAGTTTGTCTGTTAGAGTGTGTGTTGGTAACTTAAAGCTCCCTGACTGCTGAAGGACTAAGTCGGTGCTGAGCTTGGGTGCTTCTCCTCCAACGAAGTCCTTAGTTCAGTTGACTATGTACAATCGCCTTTCGTCATTTAAGTATGCGTTTATTTTTTTCGCAGGTTACATCAGTTTCATTTAGTCCTTGTGAGACCTATTTTCAAGCTTCCTGCACTGGAAATTGCACCTTTGTTTGGGACACCAGGATGATGCCCTTGGAAACCGGGGTAAAGTGTGTGGAACGTCCTCCGCCAGTGATTAAGGACAGGGCCTTTAAAGCTCTTCACCGTCTTAGCCATGGCAATCCCATGCCGACTTCAGAAAATTCCTTCCAAGTACCTGGGTAGTTGAAAAGACTTTTGATTTTATTTGTTTATGATTTTCTACGTTGAGATCTGGTAATAATTTTCTTGTATGGAAGTTTCCATCCTTTAGTTTACCCAATTTTAAGCAACCATTATGACTGTTGTGGGATACAGATTGCATAGTTTTAGTTGAAGTGCTGGTTGTAGTTGTCTGGTGTGCATTCTGTGAATCTTTCTGATTAAATCTCCTTAAATGAGCATATAATGGCTAAATATAGATTTCCTGGAATCGTTTGTAATTGAATTGAGAGATTTGATTACAAGAAGCATATTGAGTTTCTTTCGGTGATAGATTGACACCAGATATGTTTCAGACGTTGATGCTTCAAAGCCTAAAACCTTATATGGTGCTTTATGTAAAATGGGTAGGGTGGTTGACGTTGGAGATCAGGGTGTGAACGATGCCAAATGGTTCCAAGATGAAGCGATTCTTGTCACAGCTAGTGGTTCCGGAAGGTGATCATGAAATTTTCACCTTTTTCTGATAGATCGGGAACCGATTTTCGGATTTTTCTGTGCCGCGAGACGTGTCCAGTTTTGTCTTCTTCTTTTCTATTTATTTTGTTTTTTGTGCTGTTTGAACACTGCTCTCAAATATTGTTGCAGTTTTAACGTTATTAGTTCGTAATGTCACTACTTCTGACTTCATGCATCTGATTGCAGTGTGGCGATGTGGGACCCAGCTTTAGGACAACCATGTGTACAACATTTCAAGAGTCATACGCGTTGCGTAAATACGGTTAGTCAAAACCTACGTAGGTCTTTAGATCTAGAGGGGCTTTAGCAATGTGCCAGAGCCCCTCATTTTGATTGAAATCAATGAGGTGGTCACCTTGCACAGGTAATTGTAGAATGTCATCTAAATTTTTCGTTTCATATTGATTGAATTCAGGTCGCTGTATCACTCAAGGATCAATTTATCTGTACAGGAGGCGATGATCAGAAAGTGGTGAGTATATAATACGCATAGTTTTCACTTCAGACACTGATACTGATGCTATGCGGGTTGTAAGTTCACATCCTTTGTTGGTGCTGTGTACAAGATGATCTTTGATTTGATTGTTCGCAATATAACATAGTCAATGACACAAGTTACAAACGTCAATTATGCAGGTTTTGTATCAGAATGTTCGAGAGCAGGCGTTATCTCCTCGCTGGAGACTAACTTACCCTTTGAACGAAGACTCTCTTTAAGGAAGTAACAGTCATAATTGAAGATTTGGAGACGAATAGGTTTCCATTTCAGGTCAGATAAAAAAATGTATTAGGCAATTTTCACTACTGCTCTCCAACTCGTTCAGGTTCTTTCTTAAGCGAAAGCTGAAAGTTGCAGTACTTTTTATCATCTTTTAATGTATTTATGTTAGGTTTTATTTTCTTTATCTCAGATTTCGAATGCATAAAATTGTATCAAATATTTTTGTTTTAGATTGAATTTCTGTGCATTTATGACATTCTCTAATTTGAATTTGAATTTTTTCCCTTAAAGTTTTGCCATGTATCAAGATTTTTAAGTTGTAATTTTACAATCATAAACTTTGGATTCAATGACAAAATTTCATATGATTTTCAAGTTAAACGTTCATCATTTTTGTGAATAACCAATCTTGTGTTATGAAGCAACTACGAAAAATAAAAAAATAAAATCAAAGTAAAAAATAAAATAAAAAATCATTGAAACGAAGTAAATGTCGAAGACAAAAAGAGTAGAGAAATTGTTTTACTCTTCTTCAATGCCTACTGTTGTGTTTGTTATCTATAGTGTTGATCCTAACGCCTAGATGTTCCCTAAAGAATCTTGGTGTTGTTGCAACATGGTGTACTATTCCAAGGATGCTTGAGAAGATTGCAACTTTACACAGAGGAAAATCAAAGGTGATAACTTATCTAATGTACAGTCAATCACAACCAATTGTTGAGATTCTTAACAATTGGTGTAGACGTTTGTTCAATAATGACCAAAAAGACTAATGCCAAAGATTATGCAATAGTACAGGGTGATTTCTTCTTCTCAGCAATGTGAGCATATTTCTTTTCTATTTGTATGGCTCTAGATGATAGGGTTGTGCTGTTCTTATTACAGCTTGTTTGTGCTTGGGCTTGTAAGTACAGTGTACTTCAAGAGTGGAAAATGTATGCGTATCACATCCTGATTGTGCTTTTGAGAGGTTTTTTGCATTATGGTATAAGAGAAGGTTTGCATCATGGACATAGCAAAAATTGTATTAAGCTTATTATTTCACAAATGTGAAATACATTTATACCAGCAACTAGTTACGTAGGATGATGTCTTTTGCTCCTTTTGGCAAGCAATAAGATCATCAAAATGACAAAGTAAGAAAGAATAACTTAGACATATAGATGAAAGATATAAATAAACTGTAAACATTACCTCCAACTTATTTGAAGAAGGCATTTGTGTCCCATTGTTGTTGCACGGCAAATCTTTGACAGTTTCTTTTTAAGGCATATTTTGCTAACAGAATACAAATTTTACCGTGATAGCATTAGTTAGGGGGTCTTTATATCTCAAAGTCCATTACAATAAGGTTGTGGTCCAAAAGTCTTACCAAGGTTCCTCCTTTTTTAAAAACAAGTCATCCTTTTACAGCCTTGACATGTGGAGATAGTTGTAATTGAAGAGAATCCATAAAATGGACTAGATCATTAGTTTAATATAATTCCAGACAATACATTTCATTTGACTTGTTTTTAATTTTGATCATTTGGAAAAAAATTAAAATACGTATGCATAGTTTTTATAAATCTTTTGAGTGATTTTTGACATGACTACTCAAACTTTAGAAAAAAAACTATTTCTCAAGTAGCACTTTACACAAATTCTAAAATATGACAGTAATCATACCTTCTGTAGAGAAAAAACTCATTCTACCTCATTTTTTAGTTGATTTTCCAAAATATAAAACCAACCACCAAGTGAGTGAGACTTCTCAATTCCATCCTATTAAAAACTTTGAAAATTGCAAAATAGTCCACGTTCGTGTACTATTACACAATGCCTTACTTTCATGTACTGTGTTAATCAATCAACATCTTGATTACTGGTGAAACAAAAAAAATAAAAAAATAAAAAATAAAAAATACTGACGGAGCAATGTAACGCCTTCTGATTAAATACAGTCAGTCATTCAATCCATTGTTCGAAAACCCATGTATGGAAATTCCAGTGGGTGCTATGGTGCACTCGAAATGGCTCCATCTAGAGGTCATGTAACTTTTTTTGCACCTTTTCCAGGTTCGGGAATACCCCAAAAACAGAGCTCATCTTACTGATTCTAATGCGTTAATAACTGTGATAGTGAATAGAAGGGAAAAGCGTAACATGTAAGGATTCGGTGTGAGTCTCTCACCCTCATGGAAGAGTATGGACAAGCATCTCACTCCTCAAGAGGTGCTTTGTAGAACGATGCAACCATGTCCCATCAGCTAGAATGATCACTTTGCGGTCATGCTGTAGAATGTGCTCCGCTTACGAAGTGGGTTTTCAAAGGTCAGTTCTGTCATGAATGCGATTCAGAGTTCGGGAGAATCTCAGAAATGCTTGTGAGCATAACCTAAAATTGATTTCGGCATTTAGCACCATACATGTAGGTGGAAGTGAGATGCAGTTTGGGTGCCATTCTTCGAACTTGTGGGGTTTAGGAGAGACATTTGAGTCCCTGCGCTCCGTGTTGTAGCTCCTCCGCATTGTCTGTCTTCCTCTGCCGTGGTTGTGTTTCTTCATGTGCTGGAGTTCTCAGTTGGAGCGCTTCTCACCGCCGACTTAGATTGTTGTATGATTTTTGGATGGGGCCTGCGTGACGTTTTTTTTTTTTTTTTTTTTTTTTTTTTTCTCTTTCTCTTTAGCGATTCTGAGAGTGAAACAGCTTTGAGGATTTTTGTGGGGAGAAGGGTATTTGAAGGTGGTGAGAGAGAGGTGGGTCTGAAGAAAGCGCGACCAAGATGCCTCGCGAAATTATAACCCTACAGGTGGGACAATGCGGCAATCAGATAGGAATGGAGTTTTGGAAGCAGCTGTGCTTGGAGCACGGCATCAGCAAAGATGGCATTCTTGAGGACTTTGCTACTCAGGTGTGTAGGGTAGAGTTTTTTCTAAGATTTGACTGTTGGGTGACTCTGGATTATTTTTTAATTTTTTTTAGTTTGGTCTTTTCTTCTCTATTCTACTTCTCTTGTATAGTTATTTGTTTAGATTTTTGGTTTCTTTGTGGATCAGGTCGATTGATCTGTTGCTAAAAGGGTGTATATGGCAGGGGGGCGATCGCAAGGATGTTTTCTTCTACCAGGCTGACGATGAGCACTATATTCCAAGGGCATTGCTTATTGATTTGGAACCCCGAGTCATTAATAGTATTCAGAACAGTGAATACCGGAATCTATACAATCACGAGAATGTGTTTGTTGCGGATCATGGTGGAGGAGCTGGAAACAACTGGGCGAGTGGGTACCATCAGGTTAGCAGTGAATCTTAAGCCCGAACCCTACATACGGCTAAATTTAGCAGAGTTTTCTTCTCGGCTCACTACTGCAGCACAAATTGCACACAAGATGGAAGTGGTAACTCTGGACCGAATGTTGTGCTTAATTGATTGAGACGGAAATACCTTCTGGAACCACTCCTAGAATTCTTTTTGCTCATGTGCTACCACTCAGTTGTAACATTAAGTGAACACGAGGTGGTCACTCTTGAAACCTTTCAGTCTTACTTCCTGCTTGTAGTATGATTACAGACTTAGTTTGGCTGATGTGTGACTCAATAATAGATAATATTGAGCGTCTTATTAAATTGCCATGATCAACGCTTTTACTTCAGAGTCCAATTTAAAAGGGTGAGCTTGGATGGTATGTTTGTGCAGGGAGAACAAGTAGAGGAGGATATCATGGACATGATAGACAGGGAGGCTGATGGAAGTGACAGCCTGGAGGGCTTTGTTCTCTGCCATTCTATTGCTGGAGGAACTGGTTCAGGTTGTTTTCTTTCTTATCGAAGGTGCAGCGTGGCAGGGGAAAGGGAGCTTAAGATTTTTAAATTTATAAAATATTGCCACTCATTGATTAAGTTCAAATTTTCTTCTCGCAGGGATGGGTTCTTATCTTCTGGAAGCGCTCAACGACCGGTACAGCAAGAAGCTTGTTCAAACTTACAGTGTCTTTCCAAACCAGATGGAAACTAGTGATGTAGTTGTTCAACCCTACAATTCGTTGCTTACCTTGAAGCGCTTGACATTAAACGCGGATTGTGTAGTGGTCTTAGACAATACGGCTTTGAATCGTATTGCTGTGGACCGACTTCACATTCCTAACCCAACGTTTGCTCAGACTAATTCCCTGGTGTCTACCGTCATGTCAGCTAGTACCACAACACTCCGTTACCCGGGTTACATGAATAATGATTTGGTTGGATTGGTGGCTTCCTTAATACCTACACCGCGCTGCCACTTCCTGATGACAGGGTACACACCGCTGACTGTCGAGCGTCAGGTACCTTGTTTTCAAACAGCTGTTGTTATACTTGGCAATCTTTTCTCAAGTTCTGTGTCTTTAACCTCAATCGCTCCAGTTCTTTCACTAAACTGTAATAGTACAGTATCATCCTCTTGTCACGGCTTGCTTTGGAACTGATCGGAAAGTTTAAGTACTGAATGATGGTATACGCAGGCTAATGCTATCAGGAAAACAACTGTTTTGGATGTTATGAGACGGCTTCTGCAGGCAAGTTAGTTCGTTTCACTCTGAAGTCCTGTCGAGAAAGTTCTCTGAAGTCTGAAACGCTGCATGTTCCTTACTTATCTCATAGACCAAATTGTCTCAAACACATAATTTATTTGCTGAAGCATTTAATTCTCGTTGAGAAGTCTCACATCGAAGATGGTTATACCAGGCCAAAAATATCATGGTCTCATCATACGCAAGGACAAAGGAAGCAAGTCAGGCAAAATACATCTCCATACTCAATATCATTCAGGGCGAAGTTGATCCCACTCAGGTTAGTGCTGATCATTAATAAACAGTCTTTTAAGGTTTATTCTTTGTTCCTTCATTCAACTATGCTCGGTAAGAAACGGTAAAGCTTTACGAGCCAGGTGTTCATGGCTTTGTGGTTTCCTGTATCGTGCTCGAAGGGTTCAGTGATGTCTGTCTGAAAGACTGTGATTAGATGGGTTCAGTTCTCGGTATGAGAGTGTTACTAATCTGTAATTCGTATTGTGTGGTTGAGACTAGGTCCATAAAAGTCTACAGAGAATACGAGAAAGAAAGCTAGCTAACTTTATTGAATGGGGACCTGCAAGCATCCAGGTGCGCAGACCTACAAACTCTTGTATATCGTGTGTATCAAGCGCACTGCGATGTTTTTTGTGCCTAGTACTATGCAGTTACGTAGGGTACATGTTGAAGAATTAGGATGAGATGGTGACTTCTTGAGCTTCAGAGTAAGGAAATTTCTTTTACTATGCTTATCAGGATTAGTATATGATCACAGGAACCTCTCCTTGTCTCTGAATTTTGAGATTGTGTTCTTGTGATTTTCTACAGGTGGCTTTATCTAGGAAGTCACCATATGTTCAAACTGCACACAGGGTGGGTGAAATATTTCAATGCGCAGCCTTCTCGTAGAAAGATGTCGTGACACATGCATACTAACTCATTTATCGATTTAGTCCGATCGCGCATTTTTAGTCTATTTAATTTTGAGGAAATATTTTTGCTGATTGCAATGCGAATGGAGGTTGCAGGTTAGTGGTCTAATGTTGGCGAGCCACACCAGTATTCGCCACCTTTTCAGCAAATGTATCAGTCAGTATGAAAAACTGAGAAAGAAGCAGGCGTTTTTGGATAATTATCGCAAGTTTCCTATGTTCGCAGTAAGTTTTATTGTTCAAATCATTCAAGCTTCATTTGTAATGTTTCACTCAGGTTACGAGTACAGCGCACCTTACGGTCGGCACCAGCTGGCCTGTCTTAGAAAGTCATGAGTGAATGCAGCATTTCTGAGAATAATCAATCATTCTCGGTTTTGTGTTACAGGACAACGACCTATCAGAGTTTGATGAATCGAGAGAGATAGTTCAAAACCTTGTAGATGAGTACAAAGCGTGCGAATCTGCGGATTACATTAAGTGGGGCATGGAGGTGCGTTAACATCCAACTTTCTTTCGATTATGAAATTGTAGGTTTCTTTGGCATAAACATTGGCTTATTGATTGTTAATGTGCAGGATCGAGGAAAGCAGGTATCCGGTGAAGGGAATACCAGTGGGACCGTGGATTCAAGAGTAGGTGCCTCGTAAAAGCTCGATATGTAATGCCTCGTTTTTATATCCTACCAGCCAATGTGTAGTGGAACGAAGTTAGGAAGTGTCGTAGTCTGTAAATTTAGGTTCCTGGATTTGAATACCCTTCACGTCTCATACAGTAAAGGCGTAGTATGTATTTCACACATCTGGTCTGAGCACGGAGTAGAATTTATTTTTACTTTGGGATATTCTTAAATCGTTTCTTAAGTCAAATAGGATACCCAAACACCTGTTTTTTAAAAAATTATTCCTTCTGAATCAAGACCATTTTCAATATCTACGAAGATAGAGCTTCTCCACTGCTGCCAAGCATGAAGGCGTGGACCTAGGACCAAAGGAGATGAGAAAGTACCATCATTTGTTTCACAATGTCGAAGATGCTTGAGCTGGTGGTTGATGTTATCACAAACCACGCACAAATCGCAGGATTGTGGTCACTTCTGCATCTCTTGTTTCATTGCGCCTTGGCAATGTGGTTTCAGGAAGTCGACAATGTTACTTTTCTTACACTAGACTGTATCAACTGCATGTGATTATGCTGAACCCTCGTATTTTAGATTAGGTGCGTGAGAAGTTGGTAATTCATTGCCTTCATCTCCAACGCCCACTCGCGACTAGGAGTCTTGACATGCACGATGTGGTGATGCTAGCCTATTAAAATGTGTCCCGAATTTACTCAAAGTATGCATTAAAATAGACTGCAGATGGGTTACCTGGGGTTAGATTCATGGCCTCCGATATGTGTCCCACTTGATCGGGCTTAAAACACGGGTCACGCACTTAGACAGGTGATGAACTCCAATCACTGGAACGAAGAGATACAAACAGGATGAAAGGGAGAACTACAATTGTGTGACCAAGCGGAGCATGGTGATGGCGACAAGCAGATGCTAACAATGGGCGATCACGATGTTTCACCACCCAGTGCATTAGGTTTTGAAATTGCTAGGTTCTATGGTTTCAATTCTGTTATAATCTTGGTGAAGTGATATGCCTTGGGTCGAATCGGTCCATGTGTAATGGCACGTTTTGATTCTTGATTGTGGGGCAAATTATGTTAGTGGTTCTTCAATGTGATGCGGTCCAGACAATACTATTAGAGTTAGTATCTGATTCTGGTAGTGAACAATAACTCCAATAGTTTCAGCACATTTCAGAGACTGATTTAATAATAATTTCAACAGCAATGAGCTGAGAGTATCTGCATGAATTTTTCTGATGGACGATGAGATGGATGGTCTTTGTCATGCGCTGGATGTGTATCAGGATTTGAGATTTTTGATGAGTTAGTATGCATCTACTTGTTGGGAGGGCCGTCATCAATATCTAAATTTCGAAATATTCCAGGCTAATCGGTCGTTCGGATTTAGTGAGGGATAAGTCTTCTAACATGATACCATCCATTTCAAGTCATACATTGCTGTTACTACTCGCAAATTGTGTGCAAGTGTCCAGTTCATGCTTGCAGCTTGTGTCTGGAATTTTTGGGTTATATTTCTTGCTTCACTAACCACCTTGCTATATACACTGAACTTAAGGTTCACTCGTCATGCTTACACCAAGCTGTAGTTGGGCATCCACTACTTACTTTGGTATTGGTCATGGTTGTTAAATTATTCTCTGAAATGTGCCGAGCTCTTGTCATACAAGAGATTGCATCAGCGACCGAAGGTTTTTGAATGCAAGAATTGGGTTATCAGCTGACGCCGCGAAAGCTGAAGGATTTAAGAAACGTATTCCTATCAGCAAGAATGACGGTAAGCATCTACAGTTAGAGAAATAGGTCTTTTACGCATGTAATTTCCACGTGAAGATACGCAGGTCCATGACTAGCGAAGTGTTCATCAGGTGTCCTTGAATTATTACCTGAGCTTGGCATCTGATGTCCTTGAGCTCAGGTACACACCACCGTCATGCTCTTGTCGCTGTGTGGATTACATTTTCATCGACTATTATCTCTGTCTTGATCACCAATTTGAGGGAAGATAATAGACTAGAGTCATCTCCCTTAACATCTTTTATTTCTCAGAACTGAACTGCAAAACGAAGAAGGCAAGCCTTAATTTACATAACAAAAGGAGGAGGACAAACACGTCCTTATAGACTCACATTTGGTTGTGTGGAGATAGGATGGAGGTTGCAGGTCTATTTGCTGTGCTGCAGCATATTACTCAACTGTGAGACGTAATCACACAGTTGCCTCAACATGATGGTGAATACCTCAACATCATGTGCATGGAGTTGTATTCAAAGGACTTGCTCCAGATCGTCAACACCATGTAGGATCGGAGGATCCCTGCTAGTGGGCAAAGGACTCCCTTGTCATGCAAGTCCGAAATTTTTCATTCATGTCTTAATGTAATTGAGCACCACGATCATGTCACGCATCCTGACTACATAGTGCATTACTATCTTAAAGTGTCCATTATCGTAGAAAGAGCTGTTTGGAAGCAATTATATGCTTTGACTGTAGAGTTTCAGCATGGGTACACGAGCAAGGGCTGATTATCTTCTTCTTCGTGATTTTGCGAATTTTGGAGTTTTCAGGCGATGGTCTCTTCCTCATCCCCTGTTCAGCCGCGACGTTCCTTGCTCCAACCGCAACGTTCACTCCTGAGCTTTGTATGTTCTTCTTACTCTTCATGACGTTAATTTTTTATGACTTGATCTTTGTGTCCATTGTCAAGAAGATGAGACGGACGCGGTTATCATACAACCGCAGCCTATTTCAAGCTTTATGAATGGATCATTGGTCATTTCTTCTCGTGCCATGATCACTACTATCCTTTTTGGACTGTATCTGCCCACGTGGAAGGATCAGTCACGCTGGATTTGGATGCCATTCATTGTGGAGCATCGTAAGGGACATGTTATTAAACTGAGGCTGAAAATATGGATAGAGCTGATGACATTCTTGTCAGCTCCATTGCCAGTTTCATCACTACATAAGCACTCGCTACCACGACGTCACACATTATCCTTGTGATATCATTACAGGGTCTTTGATAGTTATTGGTGGAGCCATTTTCGCCCACAATTTTTTGTTCATTCTAATGAAATCATGTGAGTATGTCCATTCCGTCATCAACCAAAAGTTTGCTGCCTTGAAGGATTGTTATACAAGGTACATCAATGAGGAAACTTCAAGGATACTGAACTTAAACTCAAATGATTGGCATCAATTTCAAAGAAAACTTCGGCTCACCACTTAACGTCAGTGACCCAACTCAATGGGATTCTGAAAAAGGAGTTTTTTCCCAACAACTATCCATGCATATTCCTGCTACCTGCAAAGCCTCGTTGAAAGTTTCTTTACTTACATGAGCTATTGTTAAAACTTAGGATAAAATAACGTTGTTCTCGAGCGTGTGAAGAGGTGAGACACTTACCATCATCAATCTATCAATGTTTCAAGAGCAGGTACGTGCTTCTGTCAGTGATAGCTATTTCACCCCCAATCCGGTTCCAAGGTCTTCCATACGGCAAAACTTGGGACATTTTGAAATGCTCAATGATCTCAACCCATCAAGTCATATGATTATATTTATCTGTGCCGGGCATTGTTAGTCAGTCCAGTACAATCATCGGCCATTCAGTACAACCATGTAATTTGAGAATTGAATCTTCACATTTTTACACCCATCGAGCCTGAAAACTGAACGTGCATGTCCCTTCTTCGGGAGCTTCAACCTGTGCAACAGTGATGGTATTTCTAAAAATTACCAGTTCTGACTCATGAGAATGCCAGTTAGGAAACAAATAGAGGATGAAACAGAAAAAAGTCTGACTAGATATTTGCAATGAGATCTCTTCACTTCGGACTTAAGCAGCAGCAGAAAGTGTTCAAGCTTCGTACGTAGAGACCAGTCCAATGGTGATCTGAGTTTCTGAAACCCTTGTTCATGTTTGTGTACCACTGATGCAGGTAAACGAAATTCTCAATCAGCATCAATTCAATTGGTGATTTCTGAGCAACGATGTGACGTGCAGAATCACGCGCCAGCACTAAGCACTACACTCATTTGCGTGGAAAACTGTCAACGATTAAAAAAAATAAAAAAATAAAAAAAATAAAATGTGTGAGCTATTCTGAATGTTTGGAAACATTATCAGTGGAGCTGTAAGAAAAGAGCAATAGAATCAGTCAATTTCACTGTCCAGAGCCACCAAGTCCAGCTCCTTCACTGTCCAGCCAATACAGCATCTTTCTCCTCCTCCTCCCCCTTTTGTTTGTGAATTTCGTCTATGTCTATCCCTCTGTCCGTCTGTCAAGTGCTTATGGATCCCACTTTGTTGCAACAAATAGACGCTTCATAGACTCCAAGGAAGTGGAGCAGGAAGTGAGTCACTCGTGACCAAGCCGTGGTTCCACTGGTGCTTCTACTCCCACTCCCACTCCATAGCTACAGCTCCTGCTGCAGTTATGGAGTCAGAGACACTTCGTGACTGCATCACAGAGTTGTAGTGAGGGTCATACAAAGTGGGTGTCCACCTCCATTGATATTGGTGGGAATTTCACCCTCAAACCCCTTCTTTTGTTTCTGCTCCTGCTGGCAGGCCAAGTTTCTTGCAAGATTTCAACAGTCATAATATGAGGTGAATACTCCTCTAGATGCACAATATGCCATCAATGGTTGTCAATATTGCACACATCCTTTTGATGATGAGCATTGAAGACAGAGAGAAAAGAAAAGAAAAGAAAAAAAAAAAAAAAAAAAAACTAAGGAAGATATTTGAAAGTGATGACCAAGTCTTAGAAAGTTTTTAAAACTAGGAATTGCAAGAATTAATAGTTTTCATTTTTGTGAATTGTTTTGGAATGTTAAGTACACATCATGTGAAGTTGTACATGGAAAAATAATATGTCATTAAAGTTGCCAAAAGAAATAAAAAAATAAAAATCTACCAAGTTCCTAACATCATATATATATATATATATATATATGAATACATACACACATATATAGTAAAATACTTAGTAATATTTATATGAAAGATAAATATCTTTAGACTCATTACCATGAAGCAATATGTAAAGATCTAAAACCAAACAAATAATGAAGTTCACAATAGATAGAGTCAAACAGTCTTTTTATAGAAGATATTATACAAAGAATATTACTTTTTCTTTTCTTTTCTTTTTTTGTACATCATGATGAACAAATATGAACTTCATATTATACAAAGAATATTACTTTTCTTTTCTTTTCTTTTTTTGTACATCATGATGAACAAATATGAACTTCATATTATACAAAGAATATTACTTTTTCTAATGTTATAAGAGCTATAAATATAACTTCTTCTAATGTAATATATTATAATATAATAGAATATTTAATATAATATAACTTCTTCTAATGTAATATGAAGTAAGATTATAATATAATATAATATAATATTACTTCATATTATACAAAGAATATTACTTTTTCTTTTCTTTTCTTTTTTTGTACATCATGATGAACAAATAAGAGCTTTGTCAATAAGTTATAAAGGTGTCTTGAAATGTGTTGTAAACTGTAACATTTTACTGTATAATTTAGAATTCTTGTTCAACTTCAAAGTATACTTTTGCAAGCATTGCAATTATGAAGATACATGATTTTGGTGTCTTGAAAATATCATCACAATCTTATATATTTTACAGTAATTTTTAAAAAATGCCAACAAAAGTTTTTAAATATTTGTTATAGTAAATTTGAAGACTTTGCACTTAGTTCTATGATTAACATATAAAATATTATAATTTTTTTATTATAAATATGTGCAATTTTTTTTCATGTTCACAAAAAAATTAAATAATAAAAATCTAATAAAGAATTTTATTTTCTAATATATTAAAGTTATATTACAATAATATTTTAAATAAGTAGGATGCAAAGTAGAAGTGCTTTAAAATAAATTTAAACATATAAAAACTCTATAATTAGTTTATAAAATAATTTAATTAAAATAATTTCTTTCAAAATATCTAGATAATATAAAATTTAATTACTATAAGAAATAGAGAATACAAATTGTAAAGGTAAATTTTGTAGGTTTTAATTTATTTCTTTAAAATACATTTTATTCCTTTTAACTTCAATAAGATGATTATGAAATTAAAAAAGTATATATATTTTTATTATTATTCGTAATTTTTTCTAGGTTAGAAACCATCTTATATTTAATTTGTCTTACTATT